TTTGCTGGACAATGGGTTCAAAGCACAGCATCAAATACAGTCAGAGGCTTCCCTCCACAGCTCTGAGCCCAGAGAAAGAACTGGTAAACCCCATCACTTTTCCAATCTAAATTTGCTGATTTTTAAAAATTAAGAAATAATGCATATTCCATAAAATTCACCCTTTTAGCACTAGCCAGTTTGGCTCAGTGGATAGAGCATCGGCCTGCGGAATGACGGGTCCCAGGTTTTATTCCAGTCAAGGGCACATGCCCAGGTTGCAGGCTCGATGCCCAGGAGGCAGTGATCAATGCTTCTCTCTCGTTATTGATGTTTCTATCTCTATCTCTCTCTCCCCATTCCTCTCTGAAATAAATAAAAACGTATTTTTAAAAAATAAAATAAAATAAAGGGTCCCAGGTTCGATTCCGGTCAAGGGCACATGCCCAGGTTGTAGGCTTGATCCCCTCCAGTAGGGGGCGTGCAAAAGGCAGCCAATCAATGATTCTCGTCATTGATGTTTCTATCTCTCTCTCTCCTTTCCTCTCTGAAATCCATAAAAAATATTTTTTTTAAAAATTTCATCCTTTCAAATTATATAATTCAATGGTTTTTAATATATTCACAGAGTGATATAATCATCACCACTATCTAATTCCGGAACATTTTAAACACCCAGAAAGAAACTTGTCCCCATTAGTAGTCATTCCCCACACCCTTTCAACACCCCTGGCAATCACACATCTTCTTCAGAATAACATCCTAAAAGGATTCCTAAAAGGAGCAGCAGTCAAGTCTCACTGATGGTGAGCCAAGGCTTATCTAAAGTAGAAATACGCAAACTTTGTTCTTAGTTACTCTGTATCTTCCAAGTGCAACCTTATCTTTAGATTTGGTATTAGAATATTCTATTACTTTAAATGTTACAAAACATGAAATTGTCAGGCAATTTGGGCAAATACTGACTATAAATGTGGTCCAGAGTTACATATCTGTAAGAATAATAGGTATGGACTTAGCCAACCTTACTAGAGACAATGGACTTATTTCCTTCACAATGCTAATACTCCTGGAGGAATAGATAGTGCTTATATATGTAAATTATCCTCTGACCATTTACAAAAAAAGCAACAAATCATTTTGGTTTATTGATGATGTCCAATGAACCACCTATTTCCAACGGTGATATTCTTTTTTTTAATATACTTTTTATTGATTTCAGAGAGGGAGAAGGAAAGAGAGAGAGAGAGAAATATCAATGATGAGAGAATCATGGATTGGCTGCCTCCTGCATGCTCCCCACTGGGGATCAAGCCTGCAAGCCATGCATGCGCCCAGACCGGGAATCGAACTGTGACCTCCTGTTCATAGGTAGACACTCAACCATTGAGCCATGCCAGCTGGGCACCAACAGTGATATTCTTAATCAACAGAAAACCTAGGGAGGAAAATGCAAATAGAAAGCTTTCTTGTAAAAGGAGATCAAGTCCTGCCCTAACCGGTTTGGCTCAGTGGATAGAGCGTCGGCCTGCGGACTGAAGGGTCCTGGGTTCGATTCCGGTCAAGGGCATGTGCCTGGGTTGCGGGCGCATCCCCAGTGGGGGATGTGCAGGAGGCAGCTGATTGATGTTTCTGGCTCTCTGGCTCTCTCCCTTCCTCTCTGTAAAAAATCAATAAAATATTTTTTTTAAAAAAAGAGAGAGAGAGAGAGACCAAGCCCAAATCAGTTCATGAATTAAACTGAGTGGACGTCCTAGAATTCCTGCCATACTTACTCCAATCTAAGTGGTACACCATTTCCAGTCACATGGCAAGGGCAGTCTCTTTAGTTTCTCTCTCCAAGTTCAAAGCCCTTTCCCAGCCTCCTACCATTAACAGGCTTCCAAGAAAGCAGTCCTCCTGACACTGCCAATCAAAAAAATCTGTTCGTTTCAGTAAAAGAAACAAGAAATTGGTCATGGGTTGCAGAGTCCAGGGCCACAGAGGCAGCTCACCCATAAACCTGCTCCTAGAAGCCAACACTGTGTGGGGGGTCAGAACCAATCAGAAGACCATGAAATGCCCTACTTTGGATCCACTCTATCATTTTTCTCAAGCAGGTAATAAGCTAAAACCCAAGAACAACAGGGGCAACCTTGGCTGGCATCATTTCAAAATTTGCTACATCTGTTAGCCTCTAGAAAGTACTAGCACTTTTTGTCTTCATCTGGAAGACAGCTTGGTAACACCCAGGTATGTTCCTAGTACCACAGACAGAATTGGCTCCTCAGCACATTCTGGTTTAATTAGTATCAAAGAGCAGAAAATATGGATTCCTAACCCAAGGATGTAAGAAAGTTAGGCAGCAGAATGAACTTTGGTAGCTCTAACATGGTCTAGAGCAGGGGTTCTGGAGGTCTGCGGACCACTGGTGGTCTGTGAGGTCCGAAAGGTTAGCGATCCCTGGTCTGGAGACCCCCAAGTCCTGGACTTTACCATTCACCACAGATATGGTTTCTGAGCTGAAGTCTCAGGATATGTCAGGATAGTGAAAACAAGTACAGAATATGGACTGGATCGCAAGCCGGATATGTGGCTGTCGGGATAGCAGCACCACCTCAGCTCCTCAATGTCCAAAGTGCCCAAAGGGCCTACGAGGCTATTCCAATCTGCCATTTTAGAGTGTTCCCAACCAATACCATGCTGTGTTATAAAATGTTGGCCAAATGTTTCCAAATATATTCACTTGTTTAATCCTTTTAACAGCTCTTAGAAAGATAGTACTCTGCACTCTTACCCACCAAAAAGAGTGGTAAATATCTACTCTTTCTTATTGGGATATGTAAGCTTTATCTGTTCAGTAAAAAAAAAAAAGACAGAAAGAAAAATCTGTGAAGGCAGTCAATTCTTTCTAAAGTATCAAAGTCACTTACAGTACAGGCCATAAAATAAGAATCTACTACCTAGTTGCAACATTCACCCTGCTAACTAGCTAACAACCACCTCCTCTATACTTGATCCTTCTTGGCTAACATTTCCAATAGTTTCAATAAAGTGGAATTTGCTCCTTTAAAGAAAACATTGTAGGGAATCCTTAGATAACATTAGCCCATGTTTAGGAAAAGTAAAAAGGAAATGGAAATTTTCTCCAGATATTCTTCTAAATTCCTCATAAAAGGAGAAAATGTATTTGTTTATTGTTATGTAATTTGCAAAAGCCTAAAAATGATTTCAATTGTAGTCTTAGATATGTTACTAGCTGTCCATCCCTGCAAGTTTTTTTCAAGGATATACATTGCAAAAGTCCTTTATAGTCAAGAGTAACACAGACCTGAGGCTTTCCCTTATATCTTTATCACCCCCCCTCTCTTGAAAAACCCAAAGGTGAGTCTTGCCTCCCCCACCCAAAACACATGTATATATCTAGCGACCAGAAAGGCAGAACAACCAGAACGACTGGACTGACAGGTGGCTATGACAGGCTTTGCAGCAGCCAACCGGCCTGATCCCAGCCCGGATCAACTCCCCCCTCAGGCCGGCCCAGCTCCCAGTTGGCCCCCAACACTCCGATCTGGGGTGGGGCCAGCCGGCCAACTGCCCACAGCCCCTCGGCCCTGCAGGCCCTACCTGATGGGCCCCCATTGAGACAGGCCGGCCAGACCCGACCCGTGCATGAATTCGTGCACCAGGCCTCTAGTACATATATAAGGCACTTCCTGTGTACAGTCTCCTCTAATTGCATGAACAGAAGCAATATAGAACAGGGCACTAAACCAGAAATCAGGGGCCGGAATCAAGAATTCTAGTTTTGCCAAAACCGGTTTGGCTCAGTGGATAGAGCGTCGGCCTGCGGACTGAAAGGTCCCAGGTTCGATTCCGGTCAAGGGCATGTACCTGGGTTGCGGGCACATCCCCGGTGGAGGGTGTGCAGGAGGCAGCTGATCGATGTTTCCCTCTCATCGATGTTTCTAACTCTCTATCTCTCTCCCTTTCTCTCTGTAAGAAAATCAATGGAAAATATTTAAAAAAAAAAAAAGAATTCTAGTTTTGACTCTATCTCTTAAGATTAGTGTGACCTCAGCTAAATCACCTAAAATGTCTCTGGGTTTCAACTTCATTCATAAAATGGGACAATATATGCCATGCCTCCACTACAGGGTTATGTAAAAGTTCAATTAGGTAATAAACATGAAAATGGATTGAAAAATTCTAAACATATAAATATTACATAAACTTATTATCATTAGGGAAACATGGTGGAAAAAAAGGAAAAAAAAGATTCTGGAACACACAAAGATTGAAAGATCTGTATTACAGAGAGCTAAGGCCCTAAAAGCAACAATGACTTTCTATAACAGAAAGGTTTTTGTTTTTTTTAATATATTTTATTGATTTCTTTTTTTTTTACAGAGAGGAAGGGAGAGGGATAGAGATACATCGATCAGCTGCCTCCTGCACACCCCCTACTGGGGATGGGCCTGCAACCAAGGTACATGCCCTTGACCGGAATCAAACCTGGACCCTTCAGTCCGCAGGACGACACTCTACTGAGCCAAACTAGTTAGGGCAACAGAAAGGTTTTGTTGCAAATATTAAAAACTTTATATGTGCCACAAACTTCCTACCTTATGGCATGCATAAGGTAGACAAAGAAAGTAGTTCAAACCAAAATAACTTACTTATTACTCACACAATGAAGGAAGCTTATAATTGTATGAATGCTGATTCCCCACTAAAGAGGGATGTCCTTTTAGGAACTCAAGGAAAAGGATCAGCAATACAATAAACCAGGGGCAATCTACACCCATGACTCACACCTGGCTTGCAACCTGTTTTTTTAAAGAAAATTTGATTTATTACTCATTCACTTAAGTATTATCTATGTCTGCTTCCAAGCTACCAGTGGCAGAATTGAGTAGTTACTATGGCCTATAAAGCCCAAAATATTTACTTTTCAGAAAAAGTTTTTCCATCCCTGCAGTAAATCAAACACATGTCTTTTTTACCAAGATAAATAGTCTTACATAGATGTGAGGACTTACCGGTTATGCTGTTTAGAACCTCCTTTAGATGACTGAAACTATGCAGCAGAGGATCCCGTTCTTCATCCTGCAACAAACATGTGCGGTTATTTTTTAAATCATTGTTGGACACAAAGGAAAAAGGAAACAAGGATAGATCAAGGGCTTTCTCTGAATCCAACCAGAAAATCCAGTAAGTTTTTATTCTTAGGAAAAGAAAGTTAATATACATTTTTCCAGTTCCTTAATCTCTTAATTCATAGAGGTCCTCTGGGCTTACCTAAAATAGTAAATCCTGAAGTATTAATCTACACCATGACCACAGCACTCAAGCTACCATAGATTGCCAGGTCCTTTATATTTGCTATGGTCTGAATGTTGGTGTCCCCTCAAAACTTACATGTTGCCCGGCCAGCATGGCGCAGTAGTTGAGTGTTGACCTATGAACCAGGAGGTCACGGTTCGATTCCCAGTCAGGGCACATGCCCGGGTTGTGGGCTAGATCCCCAGAAGGCAGCCGATCAATGATTCTCTCTCATCATTGTTTCTATCTCTCTCCCTCTCCCTTCCTCTCTGAAATTTAAATATATACATATATACATATATATACACATATATATACATATATATACATATATATACATATATATACATATGTATTTGTAACTTACATGTTGAAATACTAATACCCAATGTGATAGAATTAGGAGGTGGGGGTCTTAAAAAGGTGGATGAGTAGGTCATGAGGGCAGAGCCCACATGAATGGAATTAATGGCCTATAATAGAGTCCCAAAAGAGCTCTCTTGCTCCTTCACACCATATGAGGACACAATAAGAAGTCAGAGATCCAGAAGAAGACCCTCATATGACCATGCTGGCATTATGATCTCAGACTTCCAGGCTCCAGAACTGTGGGAAATAAATTTCTGTTGTTTATAAGCTACCCAGTTTGTGGTATTTTGTTATAGCATCCCAAACAGACTAAGATATATGTATTATTCTCTCTCTTCTTCATATTCATTATATAATCGCACATGCTCATTTCAAAGACATTCCTGACTCCACTCTCACTTCTAAAACAACCTATTTTTATAAATGAGCATGAGAAATTTCCAAACACTAAGTTGAAAATGTCTAAACTGTTTTTATAATTGTGGTCAAAAATTGTTTTATACAACTGTACAAAAAATATCCTTAAACATATGTATACAACAAAGAAAGCCAGCTTTATAACAGGTAAATTTCTTATTCATCTGATTGGCAAGATATGGCCTGCTCTATGTATAGAAGCTTGATGAATTCTCAAAGAATTCTATCACCAAGCCATACACCACGTATAAATAACTAAACTAATTAAATAAATGTGATAACCAAGATAAGGAATCTGACATTTTTAGGCATTTTAAAGAAGTCGCAAGTACTAGCTTAAGTTATTTACAAAATAGAAGAATGGTATCATCTTTTAAGCCCCAGAGAAAAAAAGGCAGCCTGTAAACTTGACATTAGCTGGAATAAAACACAAAGTCCTTGATATCAAGAACAACTCTGAGCCCTGGCTGGTTTTCCTCAGTGATTAGAGCATTAGCCCTCAGACCTGAGAGTCTCAGGTTTGATTTCCGGTCAAGGGCACGGTTGCAGGTTCAATCCCAGACCCCTGTTGAGGCTCATTCAGGAAGCAACCAATTGATATATCTCTCTGACTTCAATGTTTCTCTTTCTCTCTCTCTCTCTCTCTCTCTCTTTCAACATCAATGAAAATATAGGTTCAGTGAGGACCTCCCTCCCTCCCTCCCTCCAAAAAAAATCATTGGGGGAAAAAATATATCCTCTGGTGAGGATTTAAAAAAAAAAGAACAACAACTCTGTATTCCTACTATCCTCATTATTACTGGAAAATTGATTACTGTTTTAACTATGCACAGATCCCTAACAGCAAATCAGTGACCAAGCTTTCTGCCCATTCCCCACTTACCAATGGAATATGGGTGCTCCATCGGGCATTCCGTTTGATGGCCCCAACCACAATGTTAATCTCCCCTTGAATGATGTAAATATTCTTATCCACCATCCTGGCAAACCTACCAAAACAGTTGAGAAAAAAGTATAGTTAATATTTGCCCTGACCGGTTTGGCTCAGTGGATAGAGCGTCAGCCTGCAGACTGAAGGGTCCCAGGTTCGATTCCGGTCAAGGGCATGTACTTTGGTTGCGGGCACATCCCCGGTGGAGGGTGTGCAGGAGGCAACTGACAGATGTTTCTAACTCTCTATCCCTCTCCCTTCCTCTCTGTAAAATAATTCAATAAAATATATTTAAAAAAAAAAATATTTGCTTACCCAGAGCATGTCCATGCTTAAATCAGTACTTGGTAAGATTAGAATTATAATTTAACTTTTAAATACCAAGATTTCTGGGAGTACAAGATACAATAATTCAAAACACATCAATCCAGCCCTGGCTGGTGTGGCTGAGTAGGTTGAATGTCAGCCTGTGCACAAAAAGGTTGCAGGTACAATTTCTGCTCAGGTCACATGCCAGCGTTGCAGGCTCGATCCACAATAGGGGTGTGTACAGGAGGCAGCCAATTGATGTTTCTCTCTCACATCGATGTTTCTTTCTTTGCCTTCCTCTCTCTCTAAACTCAATTAAAACTTTTTTTTTTAAAGCATCAATCCTGCCCAGCTGTGGTGGCTCAGTGGTTGAGCTTCAACCCAGGAACCAAGAAATCACTGGCTCGATCCCAAGTAGGGGGCGTGCATGAGGCAGCCAATAGATGGATGGTGTTGCTCTATCATCAATGTTTTTATTGTTCTATCCCTCTCCCTTCCTCTCTCTCTAAAAATCAATTAAAAAAAAAAGCATCAATCCAGAAAATTTCTCAAAGGTCCCTCAATAATCTCTAGCAAGCATATAAAGTTCTTCAAAGGTGGGGTGGGGGCTCAGTGGAGGGGGGGCAATGGGGGGAAATGAGGGACATCTGTAATACTAACAATAAAAAAAACCTCTCTCCTATGAGGCCTTTAGATATGCAGATATATCTGTGTTGCTAGTTTATTAAAGATACTAGAGGCCCGGTGCATGACATTCATGCATGGGAGGGGAGGGTCCCTCAGCCCAGCCTGTGCCCTCTTGCAGTCCTGGACCCCTCAGGGGATGTCCGCCTGCCAGCTGAGGCCCACTTCCCAAGGGGTCCTTAGCGCTACTGTGGAGGCAGGAGAGGCTCCCACCACCGCTGCCACGCTCCCCGCCATGAACCCAGCTTCTGGCTGAGCAGCGCTCCCCCTGTGGGAGCACACTGACCACCAGGGGGCAGCTCCTGAGTTGATCATCTGCCCCCTGGTGGTCAGTGTGTGTCATAGCAACCAGTCATTCCACTGTTCGGTCTATTTGCATATCAGCCTTTTATTATATAGGGAACTTCAGATCTTCCCATTGTTCTTTATTTTATCAACTCAATAAAATAAAAATGAAGGTTCAAGTTAAAAGAAAAGAATGAAGTCTCGCCCAGCTGGTATGGCTCAGTGGATTAAACATCGACCTATGAACCAGGAGGTCATAGTTTGATTCCCAGTCAGGGCATGGTGCAAGTTTCGGGCTCCACCCCCAGTGAGGGTTGTGTAGGAGGCAGCCAATCAATTATTCTCTCTCATCATTGATGTTTCTATCTCTCTCCCTCTCCCTTCCTCTCTCTGAAGTCAATAAAAAACATATTTTTTAAAAAATAAAATAAAAACATGCAGTATTTAACACATAGTAAGATATAAAAAGTAACATAATGGTCAGTATCCAGAGTAAGAACTGCACAACTGAAGTCTCTATGTGTCCTCCCTAATCATATCCTACTCTCTTTCACCCATAGGTACCACTATTCTAAATCTGAAGTTTATTAAACTTTTTATGCTGTTTTATACTTTTACTTCATTGTTTCCTTTAACAATGGGTAGTATTATTCTGCATAGTTATACTTTATATAACTAATACGTTGTATATTCTGCAATTTCCCCTTAAAACATTATGTTTCTGAGTCATCCATGTTGTTAAATAATTTAAAGGATCAATAAAGATAAAACCTCTAGTATCCCTCCTTCCTCAAATTATTTAGGCAAGATGAGTATGCTCTACATCTCTCGAAGGATTTTTAGATTTATTTGTATTGATTTTACAGAGAGAGAGAGTGAGGATAAGAGAGAAACATTGATCAGCTGCCTCCCACACTGATCAATGGTTGCAGGGATTGAGCCTGCAACCTGGGAATCGATCTGAGGACTTTCTGGTGCAGGGACGATGCTCAACCAACTAAGCCACACCAGCCAGGGTCTCTGGAAGGGTTCTTAAGAAACTGCTAACAGCAGCTGCCTCCAGAAAAAAGAACTGGGAACTGTAGAACAGGGTTGATAGGAAGACTTACTTTTTTCTGTATGTTAATTTGCACCTTTTGAATTTTGTGTCACATACATATATTGCCTATTACCTTTTTTTTTTTTTTAATGAGGAGGCTCTTTATAAAAGTAGTTGTGCCAAGCTGGTGTGGCTCAGTGGTTGAGCATCAACCCAGGAACCAAGAGGAGCACTAATGATGTAGAGCGTATAAGGCTTCCAGAGCTGGCCAAGGAACACACCATAGTTGTGCTTCATTGGTACATATCCTTAAACAATAGATAGTATTATTCTGCCTAGTTATACTTTATATAACTAATAAAGTTGTGCTTTATTGAAAGTGACCAAGAATTACTGTATTAGTGCCGAAACCGGTTTGGCTCAGTGGATAGAGCGTCGGCCTGCGGACTGAAAGGTCCCAGGTTCGATTCCGGTCAAGGGCATGTATATTGGTTGCGGGCACATCCCCAGTAGGAGATGTGCAGGAGGCAGCTGATCGCTGTTTCTCTCTCATCGATGTTTCTCTCTCATCGATGTTTCTAACTCCCTATCTCTCTCCCTTCCTCTCTGTAAAAAAATCAATAAAATTTATAAAAAAAAAAATGAATTACTGTATTAGTAAACAATTACTGGGCTCAAGAAATTTACTCAAAGGGTAGAGGTAAGAGAAAGTCAAACCAGGAAAAAGACTGGTGCCCTGACAGGACACGACTGGAAAATCCTCCCAAACCTGATAATCAGGTGACCAATGTACCTCAGCTCTACCGTGGCACCTTCTCCCTCTGGAGGTTCTGAGTTTATCCCAAGAACTATACCCAAGAAAAGCCACTAAGATATGTCCAAAGCTGTTCAAAGATGTCCCTTCTGCCAGGTAAGAGATGAAAAATAAAATAAGGCTTCTCTCACTCATCCTTAAACAACATAGGGCATCCAAAGTATAAGGGTGACAGCTGGCAGAGTAGGACCAAGATAAAAAGTTAGTCCGTGTGATTATATAAAGAGAACCACAGTCTCATAAGGCCTGCCCATCTTGTGTATCAGGGGTAATCATCCACTGTCATAGGGCAGAATCCATATTTTGTTCACCTGCAGAGGTTTACAAAAAATTAACTATTGCCAATAATTTCAAACCCAATGATCTGAAGTTTTAGTTTCTTCTGAAAGACAGAAAACTTAGCATACATGCCTACATTCCAGTATACTACATTCCCCACTACATCCTAATACATTCCCACCTGGCTCACTTCACTCATTTACATTTACCTGCTTGATACTCAGTCATTTGAGTTTGTAATCCCTGTTTTATATAACAGCAACAAATCAGTACCTCCACGATCATTTCCACTACAAGTGGGACTCCAAATCCCCACACTATTATATTTTCATTTAATTAAACAATCACTATTGGACATACTAACAGAAAAGAACAATAACAGCTAAATACCTGCCAATTACATTTACATAGCTCTTCCAGCCTGAGGGTAAAATGAACCTTTCCTTCTCCTCCAACTCAACTCCACCCTTATCCCAACAACAGAATCATTCTATTCTGTCACACTGAACCACAGGGACAGACTGATCAATCATTACAAATGGCATATAAACACTAGGATAATCCTTCCAATCCTTACTGTATACTAGTGAGTTAGTGGGTCTCCTTAAAAGCAGGGGCTGTGTCTTTTCCACTCTTGCTGCCCACAGTAGCCAGTCTAAGTATCCTATCAATGAAGTTATTATCTAAAAGTGGCAGTCATTCTGCCTTCTGGAACATAGGAAAGTGCAATAGTAGAGAAACTCTGAGAACTACAAGTTCAACTTGTATTGGTGCCCAGCTACACATGAGAAGTAAAGTGTGTCCCAAAATTCACGCAAGAAGTAATTTTGATAGAAAACACAGGTTTATAATTCAAAATTGTAAATTTTTTATTGATTCATAAAGTATACAGTATAGGGTTATGTATGGAAAGGCATATCGTGAGAATACGCTGTAGAGAGCTTCTAGAAATGTCCAACTCTTGACCACGGTGCCGAATTGACGTCCCTGGACTCTCCGCAACATTCTCACGAACTGCTTCGATGTTTTGTGTTGAATGACGTGTGGAAGGACGGCCAGGGTGTTTAAGATCACTAACTGATCCCGTCTCCCGAAATTTTTCAATTAATCTCTTCACAGTTGATGAAGTTAAATCACTATTCCGACCATATTTTGCACGAAAATTGTGAACTGTAGCTGCCAAACCTTCACTATTTTTAAAATACTGCTCAACAATGAAAATGCGTTGTTCTTTCGTGTAGCACTCCATTTTTAATGCGGCTGCTAGGCAATAACAAAAGAGTGCGTATGTGCCAGCAAAGCCGTGGAGGCCATTTACCCGATATGCTATTCCATACATAACCCTATACTGTATACTTTATGAATCAATAAAAAATTTACAATTTTTAATTATAAACCTATGTTTCCTATCAAAATTACTTCTTGCATGAATTTTGGGACACCCTTTATCTACAACCTGAGTTTCTGCTGTGTCAATGAGCATCACTGTAAAGATTAGAACATATAATCTACATGTAAAAATGAGCTCAGCTGCCCTAGCCAGTTTAGCTCAGTAGATAGAGCGTTGGCCCGTGGACTAAGGGGTCCCGGGTTCTATTCCAGTCAAGGGCACGTACCTCAGGTACAGGTTCCCTGGCCCTGGTCGGGGTGTCTCTTCTTCTCCTTTCCTCTCTGAAATCAATAAAAATATATTTTTAAAAAAAAAAGAATGAGCTCAAACATGTCTTGAAAGAAGCACAAATTTTCTGATTTTGGGTGAGGGCAGGGAATGAAAAACAATTCCTATCTAGAAAATGACTTTTTAAGTACAGAAAGGGAAAATCTTTGATGCCCGAGTCATCTCCAGGCCCAACTGAAAAGATGCTGGATTGGTCACACTATCTTCCGAAGACTAGACTGCCTATTATGCAAAGCATATGAACTCAACAGGATCAACAGGGCATATCAACCCAGAGGAGCAAGGCAGGCCCATCGAACCTAGGTACTTCCAGTGCTATGTCATTTCATTAGCCACTTTCAATTACTTTTTTTTAAATTCTGCAACTTAGATCATAAAGTTAAAATGCAATTATTGCCTGTACCATTTCCTTCCCACTTATTTTAAATCAATCAATGTTATCCCAACACACACACAATTTCAGGAGGGCAGAGGGCTTTAGGTAGAAACGGTTTAGTCACTCTAGATTCTAGATAGTTTCCCTTCTAATACAATGAGATTTTGACTTTCCTTGTCACTACTACCTCACCATGCAAAAGTCCCGACTGCCAGGACCAGAACCATGCCACAGTTTAGGATTACATGCTAAAACTAATACTAGGGGCTCTGGCTGGGTAGCTCAGCTGGTTAGAGTGTTGTCCCAATACACCAAGGTTGCAGGTTCAATCCCCAATCAGGACACATACAAGGAACAACCAATGAATACATAAATAAGTGGAACAACAAATTGATGTTTCTCTCTCTCTCTCTCTCTCTCAAATCAATAAACTAAATATATATGGATATATATAAACTACTACAAAGTACAGGTAACATTTATTGAGTGTCCACTACATGCTGAAAGGCATTAGATTGATACTACTTATCCCTGCTACATGTTCTAACCAGGTCACTGCACATACTAGTATATGGTACTGCTTTTAAGAAGTGCACTGCCGTGACTGGTTTGGCTCAGTGGATAGAGCTTCGGCATGCAAACTGAAAGGTCCCGGGTTCGATTCCAGTCAGGGGCATGTACCTTGGTTGCAGGCACATCCCCATTGGGAGGTGTGCAGGAGGCAGCTGATCGATGTTTCTCTCTCATCTATGTTTCTAACTCTCTACCTCTCTCCCTTCCTCTCTGTGAAAAATCAATAAAATATATTTTTAAAAAAAGAAGTGCACCGAACAGAGCAATCCCAAAATTGCCCTTTCCATTTGTATCCTCCACAGAGCCCAGAGGAGTGCCTTGTGTACCTGAATTAAAGGAATACAAATTTCTATGTTGTTTATTTAAAAACACTGTAAGGGGGGAGGGGGATTTAAGTAATACAACAATAAAGATTTAAAAAAAAGAAATGGGGCGATAAATAAATAAATAAAAATACTGTCTTCACTATTCCTCATTTCGAACGGCACTCTTTACACTTGGGGAACTTTAGGGTTTACAATACTGAAATTTATCAAATGTCATCACAGTGCCATGAACTACCCTTTGGGTCATGTTCCATCATTCAGTCTACTGTTCTGACCCTACAGTTGAGAGAGATGGAAACATCAATGATGAGAGGGAATCATTGATCCATCGGGTGCCTCCTGCACGCACCCCCCTCCACCCCCCACCCCTTCCCCGGGGACCGAGAACGAAACCCGGCCATGTGCCCTTGACCAAAGTCGAACCCGGGACCCTTGAGTCCGCAGTCGGACGCTCTATCCACTCAGCCAAACCGGCCAGGGCTTGACCCTACACTTTTAAATTGGCTGAACATCTCTCATGACTCATTTTACCCACTAAAAATAATAGGCCAAAAGTACTAAATAACTTCATCAGTCCTCAAGCCCCTCTCTGTTTTCAGCCAAAGATGTCATAAAAGAGTGGCTTCTTTGTGATTGTACCTCCTCTCTTTAGGACAAGTGAAGAGACGACCTGGGGAGAAAATGCCAACCAAAATCATACACCAGGAGAGAATAACCGTGCAACAAGGCAGAAACCAGCTCAGAAGATAAAACCACAGCTCCAGACCCAGAATGGCAATCGCGCTGCCCTCTACGAGGAAAGCCTCTCCCGGCGCAGGTCCTTCCACACCTGGGTCTGTTGCACTAGTTCATGATCCAGCATCTAATAAAGCCGATGGGCTGTTCATGGGGCAGTCCCACGGAAGTGGACACTGTGCACGATCTGAAGAGGTTTTCCTGTCGAAGGTCTCAGAATCAACCCTAGGTACAATGTTCCTTAGGTCTGCTTTCAGCTCTGGAGGAATGGGCTCTTTAGGATGCAGAAAGCTCCGGAAGA